CAGGACTTTGGTCAGAATTCTACCGATGTTGGACTTCCTCCCATTGTTGGATTTCTGCCAATTGCGTGACTTTCATCGGACTTCTACCCAACACTGGACTTCATCTCGTTGTTGGACTTTTACCCGTCACGAGACTTTTATCAGACTTATACTCGACATCGCTGAACTTCCTCCCGTCGTTGGACTTCTGGCAGTCACGGGACTTTCGTCGGACTTCTACCCGACGCTGGACTTCCTCCTGTCGTTGGACTTCCGCCCGTCATGGGAATTTTTTACCAAAATTCTACCTGATGCTGAGCTTTCTTTCGTCACTCAACTTCTGCCCGTCACGAGACTTTCATCGAAATTTTACTCGACACTTACCTTCTTCCCGGCCTCCAAGTGACATCGGTCTTATGCCCGACCTCCAAGTGATGTCGGCCTTCTACCCGGCTTCCTAGTGATGCCGGTCTTCTGCCCGACCTCCAAGTGACATTGATCTTCTACCCAGCCTCCAAGTGACGTCGGTCTCCTGTTCGACCTCCAAGCGATGTCGGCATTCTACCTGATCTCCAAGTGACGTCGGCCTTCTGCCCCTCCTCTAAGTGATGCCAGCCTTCTGCTTAGCCTCTATGTGACGTCGATCTTACACCCGATTTTCGAGTATCGTTGGTCTTCTACCTAGCCTCCAAGTGATGCATGTCTTCTACCCGACCTCCAAGTGATGCTGGTCTTCTACCCGGCCTCCAAGTGATGTCGGTCTTCTGTCCGACCTCCAAGTGATGTTGGCCTTCTGCCCGGCCTCACCGGTCTTCTGCCTGACCTCTAAGTGCATCGGCCTTCTACCTGGACTCTAAGTGACTCTAGCCTTCTGCCCAGCCTCCATGTGACGTCTGTCTTGCACCCAACTTCGGAGTGACGTCGATCTTCTATACGGCCTCCAAGTGACGCTGGTCTTCTGCCCGACCTCCAAGTGATGTCGGCCTTCTACCCGGCCTCCAAGTGATGTCGGTCTTCTGCCTGACCTCCAAGTGACGTCGGCCTCCATGTGACGCCGGTCTTGCACCAGACTTTTGCCCATCGTTGGACTTCTACCCGTTGTTAGACTTTCATCAGATTTTATACCCAACGCCCTACTTCCGCTCGTCATCAGACTTTTGATCTCTCTCCTAACAACGGCCTACCCGCCTACTATAGTCTTTCCAACCTCCATCGCTAGTAACGGACGTGAATCTCCTTTACTCATCAGATCTCTCGAAGGATTGTGATCGCTCATCGTGACCTGTATATAGAAAGAGGAGAAAGCTTCTACTCAATGAGGGGCCCTAGAGCTTAATAGGAGATACCCATCTGAACAGAGCTAGGGGAAGGTCTCAACTTGAGAAAGAGGAAAAGAAAGAGAAGAAAATTTCTACTCAATGAGGGGCCCTAGGGCTGAACATGGGATACCCATCTGAATAGAGTTAGGGAAAGTAATCGCCTTGAGAAAAAAATAAGGGGGAGGTGCAAATTTTCATACCCCAAAGAGGAGTATTTCTAGTTGTGTGAGGGAAGACAAAGAGAAGACAAAGAGCCTTTCTAGAAATTCCAAATAAAAATAATAATAATAATAAATAAACAAATAAATACCAAACAACTTTCCACGTAAGAAGACTTTATGGCTTGCAAAAAAGTTTTTATTAATTATAACATACAAAACTTTAAAACTGTTATATGCAGTAATATAATAAGCATTATAAACTTATAATGACAGTGATAATATATATACAATTCATTGTATATTTATTAACAACAACAACAAAAAGATACGGTGACATTATAACATAATACATGTTATAACATATAACTAATAATTATAAAAGTATAATACATTTATAGCCTAGCTATAAATCTAGTAGTCCAATCAACGGCATGAAGGTGAAATATTTTGAGGCCTTGCATGCAAATTTATAGAATAAAAAATGTAAAAATATATCAAATCTGGATAATTGGAGTTTCTTTCACTTTATGATAATTGCAAAATTAATTAGTTTAATTATTGCTATCATATAAACAAATAAGAGTTGAAAATAAATGTAGAATTTCATAAGTCTAAATAGTATCTTTGTTTTTAAAATTTTATACACATCAAAATTGGTAAACTTATTAATAAATAATTTATAAATTTGGACATACTAATTATAAATTATATTTATCATTTTTTTTTTACTTATTATGATGAACATTCAGGAGAAGGTATAAATATATATTTTCGGACTTTGCAAGCTTAAACATTTGAAAATAGAGGGGCAACTGATACGTCATAAAAAATAGTCTCGATCAAGCACGAATTTCAAGGTAAAATCAAGTTTGAAACTTCAAAAATTAAATTGGAGACCATTTGAATTCCGATTTTAGCAAACTTACAGTTGACTTAGCGTCTCGAAAACACGAGCCCAACGAGACCAAAATCGACCCAATCCGAGCCCAAATGAGTCCAAACAAATACTTGAAGCACTTTTGGAATGATCTAACCACAATTTGGGTTACCAAATGGTCTCCAATTGTAACATGCTTATAATTGAATCGAACGGCTCGATGAGACGAATCTAACAAGCCCAAGATCGTCAAATTCTGATATCATTAAGACAGTCAAAGGTCCATTGAATGGTTCATGATCGTAGGAATCAAGATCGGCCGTCCATCCAAACCACTCCCAATTTACCCTTTATTTTTTACTTATTTACAAGTCATGACACTCAAGAATTCTATAAATAGAACCTCATTTCCTCTTGTAAAAGGGGAGAGCCAAGAGAGAACAAGGAAGAGAAAGAAGAAGGCTCCAGCCGCCTAGCTCCTCTTTGACCATCGCCGAAGTTTTGCCGCATCACCTCCAGGTTCTGTTGAACCACCACCAGACCATCCAAATACATCGAAGTGCCACCCGAAGGCGGAGTGCCTCCTAACACTGAAGTGCCACTAACGGACCACCGCCTGACACCGGAGTGCTGCCGAACCAACACCTGAGGCTCAGACTACTGTCGAACCACCACCTGATGCCCGGAGTTCTGTCGGAGTACCGCCCTACAACTACAGTCTTTCTGACCCCAGTCTCCTACCGACCACGGTCCTTCCGACCTCCATTGCCTACTATGATAACATCCCTCGCCAACTATGATCTTTCTGACCCTGGTCTTCTACCGATTATGGTCCTTCTAACCTCCCTCGCCAGACAACGGTCTTTCTGACCCCTATCTTCTGTCGACTACGGTGCTTCCAACTTCCATCGTCTACTACGGTCTTTCCGACCTCTGTAATTCGACTATGGTCCTGCCAACCAAATAAATATGTCTATGTTGATGCGCTATATATGATGTATATTTATAGCATCAAGCCAAGGTTTTCTCCCAAGGAAGTGCCTCATTTGTAAACAACTGCAAATACTAGTGGGTTATTTCAAACTAGGCTCCGTGGTTTTTTCCATTTTCCAGGGGTTTTCACGTAAAAACTCTGTGTCTATTATGAACGTTGCACCCTCTCTATTATTTGTGTGCGTGCTGGATTTTCGTACAATGCTAATACGTTAAATTATATACTTCTCTACCGCCACGAATATTCCAAGACACAACACTTGTCATGTGAATCATATTGTCATGTGAATCATATATAAATTTTGGTCAATATCTAACAGTAATAGGTTGTTTAGCTAAAAGTAAGATTTAGTAAATATATAATTAATAATTATGAGAGTGTTAATCCTAAAAATTATTTGACATTATATATGCTAAATTTACCTAAATTCTAATAAATTGTTTGGTAGTTATTTGATGATTTAACATTTAAGTGGATGGAGGGTTAGTTTTTCTTACAAAAAATTTCTTTAAATTTATTAAACTAAATAATTAATAATAATTATTAATTAAAAAAATAAAATTAGTTAGAATGAAATAGTTACTTCAACAATTATACTATTATGGATTAATCAAAGATATGAAATAGTTACTTCAACAATTATGCTATTATGGATTAATCAAAGATATGATTAATAATATTATATGCTTATTGTGGGTTATTTCTTGATATTCTAAAAGCATTTTTAAAAAGTTTAGTTTGAATGTTTTGGAAATGATAGCTATAACAATTAGACTAATTAGATATTAATCAAGAAAATAATTAAAAAAGAATAAATGCTTATAAGTGCTTATTTATGTTAGTTAGACATAGAAAAATTAACTAATAGTTTTTTTACTATAATTCATTAAAAATTAGCTATTTATGAAGACTAAGTAATGATTAGTCAAGGTTTTACTAAGGTTCATTAAAGTGCTCCTAATATTTAACTATACTATTTAAGCTCAAATATCTTACCCTTAATTACAAACGAGAGATGAGAAAATCGTGATTGAATCTCAGCAATAAAAAGTATTGATAAGAATGATAATATGTAAAGAAGAAGAATAGCTCATGATAAGAGTTTATTATTATAAGATATTGTCAAAAGTGGTGGTATGTGAAGGAGAAGATGATTTTGTTATCAATATGTTCCTTGTATGGAAAAATTATTCTATGCGGACCCAAACGATATCCGGAGGCCAATCAGAACGCATCACATCACTTTTTTGTTCTGTACCGCTCGATACCGGGTGATGTAGCCCGTTCTAGTTGGTCTCCGGACCGTCCAGTATACGCATAGAATAATTTCTTCTTTGTAGGAAGGCCGAGCTCGCCAGTGGAAGAGATGATGTGGATATAAGATAATTCCATCGAATCTTTTAGAAAAAGATTCTCTAATTTGAATTTATAATACAATGAGGAATAAATGAGATTTAGCATTATATAGAATTTAAGCTGTCCAATTTGTCATCACTTGACAATATCTATGTTGAACCTTTATTAAAATACTACTCTAAACACCTACCAAAATAGCCCCAAATTGTATAAGATATAAAAAATTGAAGCTACTATAATAAAATGAAATAAATTATTAAATAAATTAAGGAGCACATGCTTTGACAAGGATGTTCTTGTTTATTCAACTATGTAAATGAAATTACTGCCAAACAGCCCTAGGGTTTCCGCGGAGAATGCCAAAAGAAATGTAAGGTGGCATTGGATTGGATCCAACGCATCACCTGGACGGAAGTGTTTTAAAATATTCTTGTCTGCATAGCGACGGCGATGCTAACTAAGCTAAAGAATCAGAGATCGGCCTGCAAATATAATAAAATCCAGGTTCCTTCCACTTACATGCAGAGTCAGATAGCAAGGTAGAGTGCTCTCAGTCGATGATTTCATCTTCTTGTATGTGTTATTCTTTCTTCCATCTTCAAAGTTCAATTCTTTCTGCGAATTACTTCAGAAAAATTTAACTTTCTCCTTTTTAATAATTATACGCTTCATTTGGCGATAGGGAACGCTAAATTAAGACTAATGGAAGCAAGAAGAAAGGGAAAGGGGATTTCAAGGAAACTTTCATGGCGTTCTGAGGAAGATGAAATTCTTATCAAGTATATAAAAAGAAATGGATTGGGAAATTGGAACCTTGTCGGGAAGAATTCAGGGCTTTCTCGGGATGGCAAGAGTTGCAGACTTCGTTGGTTGAACCATCTCCAGCCTGGTCTCAAGAAAAACCTGCCCTTCTCAGAGAAGGAAAAACTTGTTATATTTTCCGAACATGCAGTTTTGGGAAACAAGTGGTCAGATATTGCTAGACAAGTATATGACTGTTTTACTTGCAAGTTCTTACTCTTTTATTTTCCTGGCTTAATTACTTATTGATACCAATAATTTGTAATTTTTTTTTTAATCTTTGTTAGCCTTAACCTAGTATAATATTCTATGCCTGGCCTTCAGAATATTGATAATTTCTATCAAATTTTTTTAAGGTTCCTGACTGTTGGGGTTCTCTACCGTTACCACTAAAAGGCCTTTTAAATCCTAGCTGCTACTGATATATACTACTGAAAATTTTAATTGCTGAACTATGATCTTTTTCGTGAAACTTGCATGATGATTGCTGAACTGATTATCTGAGTATCGTGTACTTTTAATTTTCTTTGCCACAAGCTACTGTTAGGTTTAGGATGGTAATGATGAGGACAAATTAGTAGGAATTTATTTCCTCCAAGTTAAATTTTTTTGCATATCTGTTGGGATTAGAACTAAGTTCTTATACTACAACCTAGATTTGCTTGAATGCCAAGCAAATGCTAATTAACAGGTTTAATTTTGTTCCTTCTAGTCCTTTTTTTCTTCAACTTATAGTTATTTTATCAATTGCTTTCTATAATGTTTCTTTTATATATTTACTTATATGATCTGAATTATTCTACAATGTTTTTCAGCTTCCAGGTCGAACAGACAATGAGATAAAGAATTTCATGAACATTCATAAAAAAAAGTGCTTAAAGAATGGAGTAATATCAATTTATCCTCCAGAAATTAGCATGAGATATACAGACAATGGAACTACTGAATTTCCAAAGATTGCGAGCTCAGGCGATCATGATTCTGTCGTCCATCAATTGGTTGAACTGATGGATCTCCCTTCAATCCAAAATACAGAAAAGGATGTCATAGATATCTTATTCAGTCCTTATCTTCATAATCCTCATAGCTCATTCGAGCTACTTCCTCAGCCTCAATTAGCTGCGGCTCATCAATCATCGAACACAAGCTTCAACGTTCTCTCATCCGAACAGTGTTCGAATCTTTCAATTGCTGATCTTCTATATAGTGATTATTCTATGGACGGAAATCTTGGTGAGCATGACTCTATTGAGATCTTTTTAATTATGTTTAGTGTTTTAATATGTGTTTGATTGAATTCGCCTATGCAAGTGTCTTTATCTTCATATGTTGTTATTCTTTCTGCAGATTGTTGGTTGCAGTTCATTTCAAGTTCAGGATGGGAAGAAACAAGTTCCCACTTCAGTCTCGATTGCTAAGAGAACCACTGCTTCTGCTTCAGAAATATTTGATCCAAATCAGACAATGGTGTGGTAGTGATATAGCTCAGCTATATGAACCTGCCGGTTTTCACAATAAGTAGTCTTATGAAGTGTGATCTGGAATGAACTTGTAGTGATATGCCTTCCTTGTTTCTTTTGAAATTTCATTGTTGATGCTTTCTTTGTTGTTCTCCGTTTACTGTAAGTTCATTGTCCATATATCCTGTACATCATAAACCTTGGAGGTGGAAGCAAACAAATGCGTTCATTGTTAACTCTTTCTGCAAATTTCCTAAGTAGGAATGTTTGACTATTTGTTTTTCTGAAAGTTTGTTTTTTGAATTTTCAATAACAGGCATTTATTTGACTGACTGGATTCTAGATGTCATACTCTGTGTGATACTATGAAGAAATTGTTAAATATGGTTTCTGAAATCTCTTTGGGCTGAAAACTTGAGGTAGATATTCACAAGGGAAACTTTATGCTATTGTTTTTTCTCATTTGTTTGGATTAATTCTTAAGCACGTTGATGAACCCTAATATGTTCCAAAACATTTTCTTACTGGCTGGGATCAGTTGGCCTACTCCAGTCACTTCTTGGTTAACTTGCCCCAATTTCTTTGATCAAAATCAAGGTTTGTGTAATTTGACTTCGTTTTGGACGGTTTTCTTACTGCTTCTTAAAGCAACTTTCTAGTAAAAAATTAAAAATTTTAGAAGCCGTCCCAAACGAAATCTTAATATGATTCATTACCACAATAATCCGAACCTTCGAGAACTATTTTCCATGAATTGCTGTTATAAACAGGGCTCCTTTCTTGTATTTTAAATTTTTAATTGCAGGATTTGCCTTGCTATTCTTATATCATGGTTTGTTTTCATAGATTTCTATATTTCTGTGCATAATGTCTCATTATATTCAAAATGTTGTTCAGCTGCTATAATGAAAAAAGATTTGTTGGTACAGTGTTGGAATCCAAGCTATGCAAAATTTATATGGTGGCTACAAATATCTTCTTGTCACTTGCCTCATATGCAGATTGTATAAGGAGGGCCTTTCCATTTAATCTTTGCAATAACACTTATTTTTCAGTATTACAAACCAAACATGGCTAGTAATATAATGTGTAGAACCTTTAAACGTTCAAGTGTCTCTGCTCACCTCAGAGAGCTTTTTTTAACGAGTTCAAGTGGAGACTCTAATAGCTTAACATTTTGTTCTGTATGACACTTGATTTCCATCACTTGACTGATATATTTCTCTTACTTTTAATGGTCTAAACCCTCATTCCTAAGATGTTCATTTTAGCCGGTCGCACATGCTCAAACATTTTATGCTTAAACATTTTATGTTTGATGCATCGTCGCATTGAATCAAATAGGCTATTAAGGTTTCATTTGGGATAATTTTTTTGCTACTTTCTAAACTAGCTTTTTAGTATAAAAATTTATAGTTCAAGAAATTATTGTGTTATAAACAGTTTTAGAAAACAATAAGAAAATTATCCCAAACGAAGTCTTAAATTTTTTTGCGCATCTGATAAATTAAACTACAACCAGACTTTCACAAATTAGATCCAATAAGAGTGATATATTTATCAAGAGCAGAAGTTGAAAATGCAGTATGATGAGATAATTGTCTAGATTTGTTTTTTTTTTTTTTTTGGGGGGGGGAGAATATTTAGGTCAGTTAAGTTCACACACACATCACATACGCAAGCTTCAAACTCAATATCTCTTGGTTGGTAATCAAAATTTCTAATCAATAGATCAATATGAGCTGCATGTAGGACTAGATAGATGTGAGCTTCTAAAAATATGAAGTTCCTTCATTTTAATGTAATCCCTTAGAAAATATGGGCAAATGCTTTTTTTTGCTTTGATAATTTTTTTTCACAACCCTAGTGAAAAATATTTAAAAAAAATTATCAAATCATCATTGAGACTCACATGACTCATAAACTCTCAACTTATCATCAAAGAAAGAAAAAAAAAATCTTCACTCAATTATTCCTCAATAAACAAGTGGATGAAAAGCAATTTCAATTCAATTCATTTGTCATTTTCTTTTCGTTTTCACTAATAGATGATTATCTTCTTATTAATAGATGATTATAGGAAGAGACAAAAGAATGGAAAGGACAAAGTCGTAAAAGCAGCTTTTCCTATGAAAACTAAAATCATGGGTAAAAACTGTAGCAATTCTCAAAAGGAAATTAAACTAAATTATATAATATTATGCTGTATCTTATCAGGAAATTAAATTACATTAAATAGTAAGCTTACCTAAATTGAATTGCTTGCAGATTTCACAGCTTTTTGGCATTGAAGTGTCATATCATGTAATCCTAATTGGACTAATGATATTTCATCCTTTTGTTTTATAAAAAAGAAGAAGAAGAAGAATGTACGCTGACTATCATTTAAATGACAAGAAAATTGTTGTAATAATTATTTAGATTATCTTAACAAAATCATTTTTAAACTTCTTCATAATAGGATTGTTTAATTTCTTATTAGTCATCAAATACAATATAATTTCATGTTATCTGAAAAGGAAGTTCAGGAGGCAATCAATTCTTGTATTTTATGTTGGTGGGGTTGTTTTGTTAGAATTTAGCAATGAATTACATTTTGCAGTTCTTTAAATACTCTCAATTAGGGAGTAATGGGGGATGGAAGAATGAGTGAAACATGTTCTCCTTCCTTCTCTTAATTCTACTAGTCCTCCCTCTCTCATCTCTTTTTAGGGGTTGTTTGGTAGCACTCAGGATTTCATTTAAGTAAGATTTCGCAAATCCTCTAAATTCGGATTTACGAAATCCTGGGGGGGTTAAATTCTACAAAATTGTTTGATAACATTCATGATAAATCCTATTAAATCATGTGTGACTGTTTGGCTATACAACAACAACAACAGCATCAAGCCTTTGTCCCACTACGTGGGGTCGGCTACATGAATCCTTTTTCGCCATTGTGCTCAGTTAAAAGTTAAATTCTCATTTAAATCTAATAAAAAAGATCATTTCTAATATTTTCTAACCAAGTCTTTTTAGGTCTACCTCTACCTTCTTAACATAAGTCAAATCTAATAACTCAACTTTTCTAACCGAGTTATCAGAAGGCCTCCGCTTAATGTGATCAAACCATCTAAGGTGACTGACTCTCTCTAATCTTATCTTCCACTAGAGCTACTCCAACCTTTTCATGTATATGCTCATTTTGTATTCTATCTCTAAGGGTAAAGTCACTCATCATATCCACCTAAGCATCCTCATCTCTACAACGCTTAACTTAGTATTCAACTACATGAACTGTTTGGCTATAGAGCATTAAATCCTAAAACGAGTGACTCTTCTTCCCTCTCGTGCCGATAGAGCATTAAATCCGCCAAATCATACGATTTCATAAATTCAGGATTTACCACGAAAATGAGTAATTTTTCATCTACCGAGGCTTTCATTTACTGTGAGATTTGATTTTACATTTTGGGCCATTTGGTTCGATTGCGCTCAAATCCGATCTGAATCCTGCTACCAAACACCCTCTTAGAGTCTAAGCAAGCTCCAATTGCCTAACCATCCTCTCTCTCTCTCTCCTCTATTATATGTTTCTCGTTCCCCAGTCCCCACATTGTTTCAGGTAATCATTCCAAATTGTCGCAGCAGGAACTCAGAGCTAGATCTCAAGGCACTTTCCTAAGGTTCAGCAGGCATACCAACTGATTCTTGTACATAGAAACCTTATCATTTTGTCTTATTGGGTGTATGCTAAAACACTACTGATTTCCTTTTAGACCTATTTAATCTAAAATTACATTCAATAGCATCGAAATTAATCTTCAAAGTTGAACCATTACTCTTCTTGATATGACTCTGAAGCCCAACAAAATTTCGCATAATTATAAGGTCATAACCTGAAAACTTGTCCTGATTCCCGTAGAAATCAAGTTGAATGATTGAGGCTCGGTTTGAGACAGCTTTAGATCATTATTTTTTTTTACTTTTAAGAGATTTTTGTACTAAAAAGTAACTTTATAAAGCAATTAAAAAACCGTCCCAAACGAAACCTGAATCTTGGCTGTGATCTTCATAATTTTATGACTTGTTTCACAACAAAACACACAACAGATTAATAACACATTATTACCAAACAAAATCTTAGATGCTGACCTGCACTGAAATTTTTAATTTTCAATAGCAAAAATACTCCATTTTGAAAATACAACTACCCTTTTATTACCCTGTTAAAAACTGCTTTGTATGTTACAACTTGCAAAATACAAGCGTTTTTATTAATCTCAGGCAAATGCCCATCCAAAGAACAGTAACATTTTTCTTACTTCATACAGAGTCCATTGTCTTAGGCTTCGTTTGAGACAATTTTTTTACTCTTTTTTAAAACAACATTTCAGTACAAAAATTAAATTTTTTACAAGAAAATTGTTTTAAGAAGTAGTAAGATAACAATTTCAAAAGAAGTCTTAATTTCAATTTCAAAGACTAAAGCTGTGTTTGGGATAGCTTTATTATTGTTTCTTTAAACAGTTTTTTAGTTAAAAAAATTAATTTTTGTACTAGCAAATTTTTATATTAGAATGCTGCCTGAAGAAATAGTAAGAAAGTTGTCTCAAACGAAGCCTAAAAGAAATGCATCTCAGGCTTTGTTTGTGACGACTTTTTTTGTTGTTTCCTAAAGCAGCATTTTAGTATAAAATTTTTAATTTTTATACTAAAAACTGTTTTTAAAAACAATAAAAAAACCGTCCCCAATAAAGCTTCAATATACGAATCTTACTATACATCAATATTTCAAATCCAAAAGGGCAAGCTCTATTTATTTAAAATATAAAGAAGTGCTATTTATTCAATGTGTGGTGTTTTCTTCTAAAGCTGATTGTCTGATGTCGGCAACAACTTTTAGGTTTCGTTTGGGACGATTTTTTTACTGCTTCTTAAAACAGTTTTTTAGTACAAAAATTAAAATTTTTGTATTTAAAAGATGATTTAAGAAGTAGCAAAAAAATTGTCTCAAACGAAGCCTTAGATTATAGGATCTTTACAGAGATGCCGTTTATTTCATTCATCAATAGTCATATTTGGTCTTTCTTTAAATTTTTTTTTTGTTGATTTCTTCGGCAAATCAGACACACATAACTTTTCATGCTGACGTACACCGGAGACGAAAGGGTTGAGTGGAACAAGCTTATTACGTCTACTGAGTGGATGATTTTTTATTAGCTATTTGACTCCTATTGAGGAAATGGCCGATGGTGGTGGTTGGTGGTAGTGACGGTGGGGGCAGTAGGCAGACGGTGGTGAGGGTGGTGGTGGTTTGCGACGCGGTGGTTGTATGCGGGGTGGGCGGG